CCCCTCCCCCCCCCCCCCCCACAAAAAAAAAAAAAAAAAAATATATATATATATATATATATATATATATATATATATATATATATATATATATATATATATATATATATATATATATATATATATTTGTTTTATATATATATATATATATATATATATATGTGTATTCATTTATTTATTTATTTATTTATTTTTTTTTTTCTGGAGGTCAATATTACCTGTGCGATTATGGTAATATATGTTATAGTAATATCTGTTGGAGAAGAAACAAAAAAAATATCTATTCTTAAGCCTGTCACACACAGCCTGATTTTGGCTCTGGGGCTACAGTCTGTTTTGGTGCCGTACCAACACATGTTTCTTTTATGTGAACATTTTCTGTCTGAAAATATATCTATGCAATATCTAAATTACTATCCCTTAACTTTGAGGCTAAAACTCGGGATTGAGGTCCAATCTGGGTTTGTAGACATTTACATGTTTTAGCTGAGACTGGGAAGCTTTACAATGCGATCCTGAACTAATTTTAATTTAATAGATATTGGTGGACTCATTCTAAACAACGTGAAACTGTGAAAGTGGAAATTATATCTATATTGATCTCTGTATCTGGTTGAAAGGTGATAGGGTTGTGCGAAATCTGGACGAGACCTATAATTCCAAAAAATCTAGTTTCAGCATATTTTTTTTTTAAGCTAAACAAAGACACAGACTGAACAGCTTCAAATAACAAAATAAATGTTATTGGACATTCAGTCTTTGGAGCGATGCGCTGGGATTAAAGTCACAATCTCTCAATTTCCACACATACTGCTTTAATAATCCAGCTGTGCTTCATGACTGCAGAATTGAATTTGCTCTAAGACTGCATGTATGTAGTCAAGGATGTGTTTGTGACTTTCTTTTGCTGTCATTCTTGTAGATTTTTGTCTTACAAAAATTTGCCTCAGCAACATCTTGTCTGCACTGAGTCATCTCTCTGCTAAAATAGCAATTCAGTAAGTTTGCTATGAAGGTGCAAAGTTGCTGTCACCGTTTAAGTCTGTTGTAGTTCTGGTTGGAAATTGCACTCGTGACTTGCTCAACCCTGGCGACCTGTCCAGGTTGTGCCCCGCCTTCTTGCCAGTTGACCACTGGAGATAGGCACCAGGACCCCTTGCAATCCCAGGGATAAGCGTGTATGATAATGGATGGATGGAATGGGCTTACTTAACTTTATCTTACGCCTCTTATGACCCACATACTTTTTATATTATTATGTTAATATCACAGGAAATGAGATTACAACAGTCTAGTTTATGCATCACCATATGACAAGAAATGTGTAAAATTTTTGTTAAGCTTTCTGAGTTTTTTTGTTATTTACAGACCGAATTGTGGTCTTTATAGTTAATATTTAATTGTTTGGGATATAGGATGGATGGGTGGATGGATGGATGGATGGATGGATGGATGGATGGATAAACATTCTCATTCCAAAAGTAGTCGATATATTTACATCTAAACCTCCATTGTATGTAGACTTGACTCTCACTCATGTTTATATGATGTGCATGAAAAAAAAAAAAAAAAACATGAACTTTTTTTTTAAATGATCGTTGTGGTTGTAGCCAGCCTTTATAGATACAAAACGATGCCGTCTTGGAGAAATAAAATAAAATAAAATAAAAATAAATTAAACATTTTACTTCTATTTATTTTATAATTTATAAAAAAAGTTGACTAAAATCAGAAATGAATTGACATGCAGAGCTTTAAATGGATGGCTTTGATATTGTTTGTTTAAGAGTAGAGGAATTAGGAAGGGATGGAATGTTAATTTGTAGGTACAAAATGTCACTGAAATACACGTTGTAAAAAAGTAATTGCTTAAAAGTTGCTGTTGTTTGGCTTGAGGGTTAGGTTAGAGTTTGGGCTTTGATATCATTTTTAAATAGTTGGGTATTGGTTTTCTGCATGCAAATGCAACGGATGAAAACTCCTCACAATGATATGACATTTTCTTTAAGGACCCCTAAACCTCAGGACCACAGGCCAGTGCCCAAGTCACTCCTTTTTGAAGCTGACCCAAGTGACACACATCATAAATTATTGTCTGATGGTGTAGAGCAAACAGAAAAAAGGTGTAACTGCCTCTAGATTTCACAAGTAGCTGGTGTGTGTTCCTTAGAGATACTGGAGTAATCAGAATAGTGCTGTTTTTTCAGCTTTCCACAGTTACATGGGGTTGTTTCTATTTCAAAGCAATAAAAAAAACCCTGCTGCAATCTTAATAAACACAAACCACTTGCCAATCATGGCTCCAATTGTGGCAACTGATATGTCAGTGTAAATATAACGTGCAATAGTCAAAATAGTTTGCAAAGCTCTTATCAAGCTGTTATAAGACATTCCCTCACTCTTTTGCCCTTATCATCTGCAGACTAGCTGCTGTGTTCTGCTCAGATAGTGTGCCTTGGTGCCTTAATTCAGACCATGATGGATTCTCAGATGAAATCAGAGAAAAAAAAAAATACAAAAATGTTCAAGTGGTTATATATATTTCAACTTTTTAAAAACTGCTAATTAACCCGAAAGAATATGGTGTAAAAGGCATTCAATCTTATTTTTGTTTGACATAACCTAACAAGTTTGCCTTTTCCCATAAAAGAAAGTTATGAAAAGGTGATGTTCATGAAAGGTCAGCATTGAATTGTCAGTAACATCCAGAATCTATAATGTTTGAGATTTCAAATTGCTCAGAACCTAGACCACATCTCATAAGTTGTCACATATTTGTTTCAACTGCAGCACGGTTGCTTGAGTTAGCTGCTACTACCGAAAAAAGGAACCCAAACTAATATTTGTGTGCATTATTGTGCAAATAAATGTACCTGCTTTCTGTTGAGGTAAAAAAGTAAACACATGCATTGAAATGGGAAAACCCAGAAACTTGTGATCATGACTTTGCTTTCATAAACATTCTAGAGAATGGAATGGCTGCATGGTGGATCTATGAATTAATGAATTTCAAGTCACATCTTTCTCCCTGAAGCAACTATGTGGCATGCTGGAATGAAAAGAAAGTCAGTCCTCTGAGATCAGACACGTCTCCGTCTCTACTGTGCCATCAGATCCGATCAAATCCAGATGTGCATCAGAATCAAGCCTAATCCTCAGAGCCATATTGTTATGATTTCACTTAATATTTTTTCTTTATTGTTTTTTTTCTGTGTTTACTCTTCTAAAGATAATGTGAATAAATCAGTACTATGCAATAATAAGTGCAATAAACATTGTTTTAAGCATCTTTAAAACAATGACGTTTAAAGTCAAACCCATCAACTGCACAGCACAAGCTTCGGTTTTAAGACATTACGCAAGGAGCGCGTCTAAACCGCACGATGTCTTGGCCTGCTCTGCGAGTTTCTGCGTTTGTTTTCTTTAATAAACTGACATTGCTCCAGCAGCGCCGAAGCACAGGGGTCAGTGTAGCTGTGACCCCCCCTGCTTCTGTTGAGTCTTCAGCTGTGGAGGGAAGCCCAATGCACAGACATGATGCACACAGTCTGGCTCAACAGGGGATATGGATGTCCACATTAATCTGGAAAATAGACCTCTGATACCAATTTACGTATAAGGAATCATGGGGAGTTAGGTTAGAAGTAGATGACTTTTTTTTTAATATATTTTAGTTTTAGCTACAAGCATTTGCTAATTAATACTCACTGTACTTGTCAAATTATAATCTGAGTGGAACAAGAGTTCTGTAGCATCTTATCTAACAGCTTTGTGAGCATGACTGAAGTGATCTTAACATCAACAGGAAGCTACAGCCCTACATGAACTGTATACACAAACTACAGAGGATCCCAGACTGTGATATGACTCATAAGTGCACATAATTGGTGTAAACAAAAATACACAGGAGATTGGAAATTTAACTTCACATGTTGCAGGGAAGGGGCTTGAGCCTTATTTGCTGCCTATTGTGAATGTGAGGTCACATAATTGAGATGCTATATCTACCTTCTTATGTGTTTATCTTTTACCTCTTTCAAGATTATGACTTTTTGAGGCCGTTTGTGTCTATGGTTAGTTTACCTGTCAAAAAAATGAAGCAGACACTTGAGATTCTGACCAGGTGGTCAAAGGTAAGGGTTAAACGAGAAGTCTGTCAGTTTTGATTGCCAGTTGATCTCTCTATGCCTCTGTACTTCAAAACTGGTCATCTGAGTTGAGTTGATTATTGTTTTTGTTATTGGGAGGACCACCAAAACAAACAAACAAACAAACAAAAATACAAATTCTGATTCTGATTCTGTGCTGTCATATGAAATAATGTATTTTCTTATAAGTGAAAAGTAAGTTAAGTAAAACGTTTTGTTTGCCCACATTTACAGGAGGCGCTATCAGTGGTGAGTGAAGACCAGTCCTTATTTGAGCCTCCCTACGCTGCTGCTGCCCCTCTCCCCAAAACAGACATGACTGCATCTGGCACACAGGACTACAGCCAGACCCACAAAATCAACCCTTTGCCCCCACAGCAGGAGTGGATCAACCAGCCTGTGCGGGTCAACGTCAAGAGAGAATATGAGCACATGAACGGATCCAGGTATGAATACAATGACTTACTGTTCCTCTGATATTTCTTTTTTTTTTTTTCATTAAGAATCAGACACATCTGAACTTCTACTGTAATCATTTGACAGCTTTTAACATCTGACATATTTGAGCGGGGAAGCTTAGACCTTTTAATGTTTGATGCCAAATTCAATTGCTAGAAAGCAACTCAACACCCAAAATGTCTGCTGATAATGTTTCAACAGGTCCAAGTCTGATTTGTTTTTGTGCAGCAGGGAGTCTCCCGTGGACTGCAGTGTGGGCAAATGTAATAAGCTGGTCGGGGCTAATGACACATCTCAGATGACCTATGGGAGCTATATGGACGAGAAGAATGCTCCTCCCCCCAACATGACCACCAATGAGCGGAGAGTCATTGTACCTGCAGGTAGGCAAAGGGCATGCTTTATAGCTTATGGTTTGTTTAATCATTATTTATGTCATCGAGGTGAATGTGGATAATTTTATGCAGGAATATATTTATTAGTCAAATGACTTTTCAGTACATTTTAAAAGAACTATTCTGAATAAAATGGTTTCATTTCCAGGTGTTTGGTTGTTGGGTTACGGTTGGGGATTAAAACGAACATGGCAAATTATACGCTTAAGAGTTTTTTTCAGAACTTTCTCCCTTAAGTGAGCACTTTTGTGTGTTAAGCATTCAAGACATGTCTTGTGAGCCAACAACAAATTTATCTTAATTTATTAATAAAAAAAACCACATCAGTCAATTTGCACTATAGTACTTAGAATGAAGTGTTTTAGAAGCTGGAAATTGTAAGGCTGAATTTCATTTGATCAACACTGTGGTGTCCAATACACACTCAACAAAACTAGTAGAAAGGAAGAGGTTTTAACTGGCTGTTCTTAGAAAAGCTTACAGGAACTAATCATTCGTTCAATGATAATTATTTGAATGAATGTGTACTAACCTTAACAGAAGCAGCAGAAAGTATTAACATAGAACCACTCAAACAAAGAGTGTTTCCCTGTGTACTGCACCTAAAGATTCCTAAAGAGATTTAAATGATTTTTAAACTGCAAGTGTTGAAACCTTTGTAACTATGTCCATTTCATGCCTTATATCTTCAGGCACAAAACTGAGCTGCTTGCCACATATTGTCTATTTCCCTTTCTTCCAATGTATCGACTAAAATTCTACTTTGCTTCACATAATGGGTCTGTGACTCCAATATGTACAGGAGGTTACTCAGTTAATTTGACGAGTCCTCTTTCATATTACTGAACTGACAAATGGATACAAGAAACAATTACAACAATGTATAATACAACCATTTCAGAAACTATTATACAGTTGAGTTCAACTATGCATGAGATATGTATATTTTTAAGACAATTTATTTCTGTCTTTTTTGGAAGTACTGAAATATCTGCAGATATTTCAGTTTTTTTGTACATTTGCATGAAATGTTTTTTTTTTTGTTTTTTTTTTTGGGAAAAAAAGGAAGGTTAGAAGAGAAAGAAATGCAAAAACACGGGTACAAAATAGGGTTAAGAATTGGCAAAGGGCCAAAATAACCAATAATTGAATAGGGCTCACAACAAAGTGAGCCCTATTCATGTATCATGTATCACAGTATCATGTCTCAGAAGTAAGTTCTGAGACATGATACTGTGCTCCTGGGAGCCCCCTGCTGGTCTGGAGTCACTAAGCAGGAACAAGCTAACCTGATGTTTCAAACCATCTCTGTTTAAAACTTTCATGGTTCTCTTATTTGTGTGTTTATCTCTAAGCACTTCAGCCAATAAACTTCCACTCGCTCCTGTCGTCTTCCCACAGACCCATCACTGTGGTCTCAGGACCATGTGCGGCAGTGGCTGGAGTGGGCCATCAAGGAGTATGGACTGCTAGAAATTGACACATCAATGTTTCAAAACACAGACGGCAAAGAGCTCTGCAAGATGAGCAAAGACGACTTCCTCAGACTTACCACCCTGTACAACGCAGAAGTGCTTCTGTCTCATCTCAATTACCTCAGGGAAAGTAAGTGTGCATTGTAATCTTTGTGTGAGAAGTCAAAAAAGAAACAGAACAAAAAAAAAAAAAAATCAACAGGAATATGGGACAGTGAAGTATAAAATGCTCACTGTAAAAAAAAAAAATACTCCTGTTTGGTAGACGGATACAGAAGTACTTGGAAACAGTTAGAGAATCTTTGAACTCTTCTATTTGCATAAGGCTATTTGTGGACTGGTATCTATTTATGCCAGAAAATGAAAATCATTAAGTGAATGGTTTCTTTTCATTCATGTGTTTTCCTCATCTTTTAGACAAAGAGTGAGAATGAAAAAAAAAATAGTTTTTCCTTTCCAAGTCAACCCCGAGAGAGCAAATGATAGATATTATTTAGCCACTGAACTATACCAACAATGAACAACAGAATTGCTTTAGCTGGAACTCATTTCTCCGTAATGGTGCTCCATCTGTAGCAGAAATGTGGAAACCAAGACGGGTTTCTTTCCCCTCTCGAAGATAACCATCAACTACATCCCCCTTGCTACACTTTGCAGCGCCTTTATTCCACATGGTCCAACAAAAAAGATGAAGCCCAGGTGCATTGCCTCAGGAAGGCAGTTCGGCCTGTATGCTCAGCACAGCAAAGAACGTTGATCTGCAATTTTCAGTGGGGGCAAATAAATATGAGCCTCTTACCTTTGAAGAGTGCCTTGTTGTAATCCAGCTTCATATGTTTCCTTGGAGGAGCAGAGTCGGTTTTCTGAGGCTATATGCAAATTACGTTTTGATATAAGATGTAACATCTGGTGTGGCTGTGGTCTGAATACACATTAGTTCGTAGCTCAGAAATTTGGGTCCTGTTGCTCTGGACAGTGTGAGTTTTTTTTTTTTTTTTTTTTGTATTCTACTGCTGTTGCAAAATATCATGACAGCACATTGGGCGGGGTGACTGCTAGCTCCACTATATTTAAAATTTCTCGTCTAAAATTGCGATGGACCTTGATGTGATGTAATGGGAACTGTATTTTTTGGGTGTCAATGGTTTTCTCTATGCAGAGCATCTGGGGAGAGAAAGAAGGAGAGATGGCTAACATCGGTATAACGGGCTCATTGTGAGGCACTGTAGCGGGTGGATCTGTCTGACCGCTACTGGGCACACTCTGCAAAGCAGTTTTCATAATGGCCACTGACTGCAGGATTTAGACACCAGCTTTGGATTGCTGCATTGCAACCCTGCCCGTCATTGCTCTTTTTCTTTTTTTTTCTTTTTTTATTTAAACGTTGTGTGTTTTGGAGACAGAAGGGATGTCTTGGGGTTCCTGCTCACTTTCCAGTTGAAAATTACCTTGGATCCATTCCCACGAGTCAAAATGATGAATTCTTCCAAGTCAGGACTGAAAGACTCGATTTGAAGATAGAAAAACAGTTTATATTCTTTACACTAGGGGCCTAAGGAAAAAAGCCTTATTTATTAGCGAACTAATGTTTTACAAAATCCAAAACAAGACAAAGACTCTGATTTAGATGCTTAAGTAATTCTCATTTCTCCCCTCACAGCACAGACAAACAATATCATAACTGAGCCTTGTCCACAAAATAGACCTCTGGATTGAGTCATGAGCACTTGAGCTCAGGCAAGGTTCCAAAAGATGGAGAAAAAAAAGGGGGGGGGGAAGAAAAGGGGAGAGCAAAGCCAAATCCTGGAAATATTAGTGATTATAGATCATGTATGTCAAGCTCGGTCCCAATTTACTACTCTCAAATATTAGGCCCAATCCTCCTTCAAAAAATTGATGGTGCTATAATCATCATAATTTCATAAACATCTGTCTGTACCGTGTGTGCATTTGGTTAGATTTTTTTTGAACGTCTGATTAGCATTCCTCTCAGTCATTAGGACTCTTGGCAAATATACAGAGAAGAAACCTTTCCGCCCTATAGTATAGCATAACAAAACATTCCTGCCACGTCATGTGCTGGACCGTTCAAACACCCAAGCTCATTTGACCACGGGCACGAGTCGAACATCTGCCTGGGTACCCAGCTGTTGACAACAAACAGGGATAGTTGGCTGAATATTATTTTGGCCTCATTCTTAGTTACTTATTTGGATTTTTATAAGGCCCACACCCCCAATGTGCTTTCAATTTTGAGTGCAATTTGAGAATTTGTTCAAATTAGTCTGTCAGGGAGGGACCGTGGACTGTTTGCTTTATCGCACCCATGTAGGTCGGTTTGATACCACATGTGCTGGAAGCGGAGCAGAGCAGTAAACCTCAGACAACAAGAGACTGTATCTTCTGACAAGAAGAGAGCAGGGGCAGAATGAGAGAGGAGAAGCCAGATGGGACTAATAGCAAGAAAACTGCAAATTGATCAGATGAAATTCTTAAGCAGCATCAAAGTAAACACAAAATGAATGGTCAGCTCCATCACAGTTAACTGGTATGAAAAACAACAGCAGGTTTTAAGCATGAGAAAGTTATATGGCAGAAAATAAAAAAATAAAAAAAGTATTTCCAGTGCATGGAAATGGTTTGAAATGGCTGTGAATGAAAGCCAGTGGAGAGCAGCAATAGTTCTGTTTCCCAGCTGTCGCCTTTGCTTGTGTGCCTGGATGGATTTACAGCGAGGGAGTCAAGACTGAGAAGCAGAGGGAGAGGGAGAGTGATAAGTCTGGGCTTCTTGCACCGCTGCTGCTGTTCACTTCAGAGTGGGGTGGAGGGGGGACATTCTCAAGCCCTCAATAGTTTATACAGACCATAAACATCTGGGCTCGCAGGCTGAGTAGGGAAAAAGGAGGTCTGGAGAGTTCACTCTCTCTCCCCACAATGTCTCCCTCACAACAATTTTATTGAGCTCCCCTTGCATTAGTTCTTTCTATTGGCAGATTATCACTGTTGTGGAGGGGTTCAGCAGCCTGGCTGTGAGCCCTGTACTGTTAGCTGTCTGCTGTCAGCCACCATAACAAAGCAGTCTGTGGCTACTCACTTGCCTCCTGGAGCTCAGGAATTAATATGCATTAGCATTAGCATAAATGGATGTGGAACATATGCTGACGGCCTTCAGGAGAGGTGAGGTGGATTACCCACAGTGTTTCGTCTTACAGCCTAGTTGTTTGAATGCTGATATAAACAATCTTTGCTTTAAATTAGTCTCTGCCTTCCGAGTATTAATACCTTTCTCACGTTTTGTCAAGCTACAGCCCCACCGTTTATGTACTTTCTTTGGCTTGTATGTCATACAGGTGGGTCACGATTGGATATCACAAGCAAAATAATACAGGTGAAAAAGGTGAATTTGTATTGATCCACTGGCGCGTTCACTGTGTGTTGCAGTGTGTAGAGGTAGATGGTCTTGTTGTGATAGTTTGGCAAGTTCAGCCATGTTCTCTCTCTCAACACTTCTGAGGCCTTCTCAGAACAGAACTTTTCATACTGAGATGAAATTACCTAATTACCACACATAATTTTTATTTTCATGTCAGTTACGTGGCAGTCTTTTTAGTACCTTTTTAATTAAGTTTGTGGTGTTAATAGGACAAAATGTAAAAAGTATAAATGCTATGAGTTGGTCATATCATGTCATATAAAGTTGTTACTGTAGCCATTGAAGGTTTTTCCAGATATTCAGGGTCAAAGATGAAAGGTCGTATATTGCGCATCGGTTTGCAGCCATTTTGACGTGTATAAAGTGCAACATTGAGTTGGGGACTGTGACCATCAACAGCTTATCTGAATTTAAAGTGACAACCCCCCCTAACAAAGCTAAATTTGAAAGAAGCTCAAAAAAAGTCAGAAATTAGCTAATTAAGTCTCATTATCTGAGAATGAATGTTTGTACAAAATGTCATGATCATGTTTTGTATAGACCATAGACCTATACTAACTTGTTCAAGGATTACAGGCGTCCTTTAGCATAAGTTTTGAAAGGAAGCAGCGTGGAGGGATGGGAGACAGATTTGGCTGATTTGGCTTCAACCCAATAATGTTTTTGTTTCAGAGCTTGACAGTGTGTGTTTAACCATATGGAGAGAAGTTTATGTACCACACCCCCAATATATGTCCTTCTTCTGCACTGATATTTCTTGCTACCATTTCCTTGTCCTTCAATACACTTTCTTTAGGAGTTCCACAAAATATTCTAGGAGTCCAATTTTTTTTGAATTTTTTTTTTTTTTTTTTTTTTATAATTGAACAAAAGAGATGCTTCAACAAATTTTACTACCTGGTTTATTTTGCATAGTATTTAACTTGGAAATATGTAGATGATGTCAAAATTTATTTTGAACTCTTCTAAATGAAGCCTAGGTAATGTACATGCATGGTTGAGAACCAAGGGTTTATAGATTCAAACACTTCACTGTTTCACTTTTACCAAATCTGTGTAGTGTTTTAAGAGGGGGGAAAGCTGTGTTAAGGATAACTGATGACAAAAATAAGTAACTATTACTCAACAAGCTGTAAACACTTGTATTTGTTAAAGTGTGCAGTCTTTTGGAATCCTCCTATAGATTACTTTTCAAATTGCAGGTTTGTGCATTTCAGTGTCAGCTTATTGCTGCATACTTATTTAAGACAAAGGTTGAGGATCTGGGAAGAAAAGTTAATATATTCCCTGCAGCAGATTATTCTCTTGCCGTCTTCATTTAGTATGAATGACTTTAGTTCAAGCCAACAGATTCTCCAAGACCAAAGAGGACTTATGACTTTTTAGAACTTCTTCAACCTTAATTATTCACATAAGAAATTAAGGTAGGAGGTGGTGCACCACTAATGACCTTCCTGTCTGAAACATGTTCTGACAAAAGTATATAAAGCATTTCCAGTCTGAGTAACTGTTTGAAAATGTTATCGCAATTTTAACCGACACTTTTTTTGTTGAATGAAACACTGGTTTTTCTTTAGTCTGATCTGAATGCCATGTTCGGCTTTAACCTTCTGACCCACATGCAAAAACAAGTCCGAGTAAAGGTATGGGTTTTATTTTCTTGAAAAAATAGACAATTCTCCTTGATCCTTCCGGGAGCGGTTGTGTTGTGCAATCGGAGGTGCCTGGAATGAGAGCGGGGTCACTGGTGGGCCAAAATGAGGTGATCAGCGATGCAATATGGAACAGCTTACTTTAGAATGGTTCTGGTTGAAGCGTGGGGGAATGTGCCCAAGGTCCAGTGTGGAGAATGGTTCACGGAGGTTCCTGAGACAAGCGTGAGGATGGTGATGACTGGGAGCTAGAGAATCGATTGAGTGGTACGGAGGGAGCAGTGGGCAGGCAGACTTGCAGGTAAGATCCACAGCAGGAGAAAACAATGGAACTGATCCAGTTGGAAAAATCCAGAGACTGACCTAGAGACAGCAAACACAAGGACTATGAAACCACTGGAAAATACTGAAGTGACGGATCAAAAACCGGTACTGTAGACTATAAGAGACGGCTAGGGAGACTACCGGTGCACGTTAATCATCCAGCACTGAGTGAAGGTTCTGCTGCTCCTTTATCTCCAACACTGATGAGGCTGATGAGATCCACCCGTGTAGGCTGCCCAGGTTCTTCACCAAGATCTGTGCTGGAAAAGATGCATCACTCCCACTCAACACACATACAGGAACCCTGACACTGAAAGCTTTACATGTTTTTTTTCTAAATACATGATTCACAGGGGATTATCATTGGTGGCGCACTAATTTATCCAATTTCTTCATTGGATAGTTATGAAGCTTTAAAGGTTCATGAAATAGTTGTTTCACAAGCAGCTAAGGCATTTTTGAGAGTGTAGTTGTTTAAGATGGTGGAAATCATCCTCAGTATTTTTCCTGTGCTAGCTGCTTATAAACTTTTAACAGAATCTCTTTTGAAAATCCTGAACTATCCCTTTAAATCCACTTCTTATCCTATGCTTTTGCAGAAAAAAGTTTAGCTAGAATAGCAGAGATGAAAACACTATAGCCAAGTTTGTAATAAGGCTGCAGAAAAAGCAAGCAGTGTGTGTGAAAATATTGAATTATGATCTTGGTTTTGCCAGAGGCTTTTCTTGAACTAGTAAAAGAACATCATTACTTTTTCAATATGTTATACATATTTGAGTAATAGCCTTGGCATTTAATGTATTTCCCACCTTAAGGCTGGTATAAATGGAGTTTTGTCCTTCGGCGCTTAAATGATGGCTGGAGCCAATTTACCCTATGTGAGGTGGTAAGGGCTTCAACACTGGGAAATGTCCACTACATGTTTAGAATAATGGCATCATGTAGTATCACAGATTAGACACTGTGTGCCTTCTATAGGAGCTGTGCAATGCAATGCAAAATTAGATTTGAGAAACATTATTCTCATTGTGAGCGTGTCAAATTGGAAAGCAAGAATTTTGAAAGACCCATCAGTCAAAGGAAGGGGAGAAAAGCAAATTGTTTGTGGATGTTATGTAATCTAACAGACTCTGAACAGATGTGACTGAAGACACGAAGAGAGAGCGAGGGTTTCAAAGGCTGTCCGGTTCTCCCGTCATGCTGTCAGATTACCAAGACATGTTTGTTTTCTGAAAGAGGAAGAGGCAGTGCAAATAAATAGGCAGCGCAGCCAACTTTTCCCCTCGCCGAGCAGTCAGCTGTGGCCTCTCCCCCCTCTGTCTCATTCACTCTCACTCTCAGCCGTGCGGCGGTCCTGAATTTCTCTGTGGGATGGTTTGAGGTTTTCTCTGCAATGCTGTCGGTTTGCCTGTCTGGGTCAGCCCACATATGTGGCGCACAGTAGGAAAAGGGTTAATGGTCCTTTCCTTCTCCTTTCCCTTCCCTTCCCTGCCCATCTGTTCCGTCTTTTCTCCCTTACTCTCATTCCAAAGACACTGCTTTGGTGGCTCATTTGCCCGGGTGTGCTTACACTGAGCGTGTGGAATTATTTTTGTATGGGGAGCTGCGTTTGATTGGTGAGGAGGGACCCTTCCCCATACAATAGCTCCCCTGTTCTAAGGCCCCCAGCTTTCTAAACTAGACCCAGACCCTTGGGGGTGCCATGGAGTAGGTAGAACAGGGAGGGGTAGGGTATGGGGAGGTTAAAATGCATCTGTGGAGAACCCCACTCTTTCACCTCTGCAGTCACCCCCTAAAAAAACAGACTCCTAGCCCTCTGCAGCAGGCCTCTTTACCGGCAGCAGCACACACTATCCTGCATCACATCTCAAGAAAACTGCCTGTTCCAATGGGGATTTTAGTCCCATTTGTACTCGAGGTTGCCTTTCATATCGCTCCATTCAGAAAGGGTATCCTTCCCATGCTCAGTCATCTCAGTGTTAATTTTTGGCTTGCACTCACTTCGCAGTAACTGCCCTTGTGTTTTCTCTGTGGATTTTTTGGGTCTGTTTTTCCACTCGCTGATTTATGCCTCAGGGCAGCTAAAATTAAGAGAGCATTTTGGTGCCGCCCAGGGTGCCTGTGTAAGTGGAGGAATGTGGCGCAGAGTTCTGCTCCATAAGGTGAAGTGAATAGGCTGCCATATGAGGACTCTTGCCTCCCAGGAGGAGTAGTTGTACTGGAAAACGCTCAGAGGCTCTGAGGGGGTTTTCTTTACATTTTTAAGGACCTCAAATCTGGGCTGCATTTGACTTACTCTGGGCTAGATTTACTTAGTGCAAACACTTTTTTATGTTATTTTCTAACGAAAAGCAAGAAATGAGGGAGATCATATGAAATGGATCTGAGATTTTTGCTGCCACCTGCTGGCAACGCTGTCATACGTTTCCATGCACAGTGGCTGTTTAAATGTCCAAAACATTTTGAAGCTAAAATGCAGGGTTTTGTTTAAAAAAAAAACAAAAAAAAAACTCCACTACATGTTTGTCTGTTTCTTTTCCTGTGTTTTAAACACCTGAACTTTTAATCACAGTGAAATAAGCCGATTTCAATGTGTATCTTCTCATTTCACAGGTAGCTCATCATTATCCTACAATACGCCATCTCACACCGACGCATCACCACGTTTGGCTGCCAAAGAAGGTACGAAGGTTTTTCTACTTCTATTGCCATAGATACTGACCTGCTATCTAATTGTGCATGTGACGTGGTAGAGGGAAGTCCTGTGCGGCTGATATTTATAGAGAAATGGATTCAGCGGGTTAGACAGAGTGTCAAACATTTTTTATTTGGGAATTCAGATCACAATTCCTGCCAGTGTGAGTGATGCAAATAAAAGCACAAAAACACAAAGCACTGCACACTTTGGAAAACAGCCCACTCACCAGAACCAAAGCGTATGCAATGGCTGATTGCAAAGGACAAAGCTCCAGGCAGGTGCAGCTTTTGTGTAGCTGAGGTGATACGAGCCAGCAGATTGTGCTATTCAAGACAGCTACCTGAATGCTATGACAACACAGCGAAGCTCGGAGATGGAATAACAGAACAGCGCTATATTAACAAACTAGGCAAGAACAGAGTGCTGATTAGTTTTTTCCACAGCAACAAAGGGGCACAAACAGACTTCAAATGCGGTGATTATTCGAAGGAGGGCCTGTGAATGAGGCTGTTTACTGGAGGAGCAGGCGTCGCAGACAGGTGCTGAAGCAACAATGTGTGCTTATCGTACATGACAGACGAGACTGGACGGCTGCCCCGTATCAAGCTGGAGTGGAAACGAGTGGATGTGCATGACTGACTAAATGGTTGAAGAGACTCAGTTTGTAATATGACAGAGTGTGTATTATATGTTGTATTTTTGACCCATCTAAACCTTAACAATACAGTTTGGCGAGGATGAGCTTTATCTGCAATGTTTGCGGAACTCAGGTTGTGTTAAGAATAAGCAATTTATTTCTTATAAATGTGGCACGGAACAGCAAAACCTGGAATAGAGCAGAAACAGAGGAGAAATAACATAAACACCATCATTTTCTGAGGAAATTTTGACTAAACCACCCCATTCTTTAAACAGTAGTTTCAGATTTTTCAAACAGGTAAACTTTGTGTTTGAACACAACTTGTTTACAGAGTAAATCTGAGCTGTTTCAGGGTGTGGAGGAGACCCATCACGGATGTCACTTGTTCAGTCGTTAGTTATCCTCTTACATGTGATCAACAGAAATCAGTCTGACCCCAGATTAGATCAATTCTTGTGATATAGGTAAGCTGATAACTCAGAAACAAAGGAGTACATTTCTGAAGTCTAAAATGACTCAAGCCTCAGATATTTTGTACCAGTTTTAGTAAGTATTGTATATCATATGTTCAAACTCCATTACTTTAGAATTATACTGTTTCATTCCTCAATAGTGGTCTTCATAGTGTTCATGTTGACAGCTTGGTATTATCTTGCTGATCAGTTTGATCCAGTTTATGAGACATTGTCATGAGTTATTGCTTGGCATGTCTTTTGCAAGGATATATAAAGGACAACTTGTCCTTTTCAAATCACCATTTCGCTTCTAACATGACAACTTCATCAAGACAGATTTTAAAATCTAGATTTATGCCTGCCGCAGATTGCAACAGGCAAGCTGATGATAGCCGAATACTTTTCTTTCTTTCTTTCTTTTTTTACTGCAGCAGTCAGCAGGCGACAGGTGGGCTACACCCTCAGTCCATCGCAGGGCAACACCACATTAAAACCTTTACATATATTTTTGGAGTGCTGGTTATTTCCATTTTCTGTAGTTCTTCAGAACTGAGTGTCTATTTGCTTTGTCCTGCCTTTTTCTACATTTGAGTTGTGCAAGCTACTTTCCTCCTCGAGCGAGATTTTTATTCATCAACACGTCATTGACGGCATTCAGACAACTCCACGTTTGAACATGCAGTTCACTTTAGTTCAGTACCAATTCACTACAAACGTCATCTTGAGACACATAGAGAAAGTCATTTCAATTCAATCACACATGCATTCCAATTGATCCTAGTTATTTTTCCGATATGGATCATTTCGATCTGATCCTTGGTTAAAGATAAATTATTTTAAGGTTTTTTTGTTTTTTCTTTGAACCCCAGTTTATCGATGAGATAATCTGATTCGTACCTTATAAGCAAGCAGGAATACAGACATTTCTTTGTTAAGAAAATATGACCATTTGCCCAATCCAAAAGCAGCAAGATACAAATATAATAAATGTTTTGTCTGGCTGAACTGTTTTAAAAATGACTTCTGGAGTATGTATTGTTTTACAAAACAGAGATGCAAACCTCCTTTTCCTCTACAACACATAAACCAAGTTAGGAAAACAAACAACTTCTTTGGTTTTTAAACAATATATTTTTTATGTTTGAAAAAATATATTGTGTTATTTTTATGTTTTTATTTATTTATTTTTTTGCTAGTTCTTCTGTAGCTGTTTTCAAAATGTTTTAGAATGAGTCAAGCCCAGTTCAGAATGACTGTTCCTTTCCTCTTGATGGCTTTTCACCCTCCAAACATTATTTTGTGCTGACACAACTGGAATAGGAACAGGCTAAATATCTGAAAAAAAAAAAAAAAAAACAGAATTTACATCGGCTATAGAGTGTCACCACCAGAGACGAGAAAAAGGACTGCAATAACACTGATAGTCTCACTCACAGGATGAAGAGCCCTATCAAGGCAGGAGCAGAGGAAATACTAGCTCTGATAAGTGTCAGAGAATGCCTTCTGCCTCTTTCTCTATCTGACCCTGTGGTCAGAGTTACCCGGCTGTGGACTTGTTCTTGCGCAGCTTCAACCTAATAGACCAGTGGGTAGGCCAGATAAGATTCTGCTCTGTCACCCCCTGACCCTGGTCTTCCTGGTTCTCAACGGCAGGTATTTAGACTGGCAGGAACACTGGATCACTCCCTTCGAGAGCATTTCCCTTTCATGAGAGGCGATTGCTATAATGGGCTCCTGTAACACTGACTCTGCCCTTAGCTGTGAGCAAAGACCCTGGCCTAAATGTCACCCCGTGGCATTAAAGGAGCTCATATTCCTATAACATTTTTTTTTTTTTTTTATACTGAGGGAACAATAATCTGGTGTCCTATTTGTGCCTTTTTATTTAAACCAGTAACAAAAAACTGATGCAGTTGTATGTTACTGTGGTGCAAATTCTTTAAAAATGTGAAACAACATAAAGAAGATAAAATTCCAACTTGGTAAGTTTGTGACTCAACAATAAATGATGCCTTACTTCGGCAGAACCTGTTGTAAGTGTCTGTGCAGACGAGCGCTGCCAGATGTTCGCATTCATATTGCTTTGTGCGAACAGCCAAATACCATTCAGGCTCTTTGGGGTAGAGTAAGCACAAGTATACGGCAGGAGACAACCCTTAATCTGCACCAGATTCTGCGGTGTAAAAGGCAATGTTATGAATAAAAGAGAGCATATAAAACACGGAATGCAGCAGCTATGAAAGAATCTGTGAGTGAGTGTGTGTGTGTGTGTGTGTGCGTGTGTGTCAATGTGTGTATTTACGGTCTCTGTCTACTATTTTCTTGTGGACGGGTGTGCATATCTGTGGCCAGGTTTCCTACATGTCTTGGCAGGATGTTCCAGCATGTTTTTAAAGGTTAATACAGTATAGAAAGTGCTGAAGAAGTCAATCATTTTCACAACTCGTTCACACACTTTTAGTTCCATTATTTGTTTTATCAAGAAGATCAGTGTATGCTTTCTAAAAACTACAAGATCACAATTCACTTTTGTAAAGACACTGTTAAAGGATTAAAGGCAAAATTATCATTATGTGTAGGGGCTCTCATGCAGTACCTTGCATTGATTTCCTTATACTTTAATACACCTTTTCACATTTTGTTACTTTATAACAATACACTTTAATGTATTTAATGTCTTTATGTGATAGATCAACACAAAGTTTTCTAAAATGACAAAGAAACCTGTCAAGAAAAGGCCATACAACTTAACTGATAGGTCAGGCAAGCAGAGTAGGAAAGCTTCAGAGAAGCAACCATAAGACCCATGGTATCTCTGGAGGAGTTGTAAAGATCCACTGCTCAGATGGACAATTTTTTACATAGAATAATAATCAGTCCAGCAGTTCACAAATAGGCCTTTGTGGAGGAGTGGCAAGAATAAATTGATACGATTTTTTTTTTTTAATTCCGGTTTTTCTCAAACCATATATGGGATGCCAATTAATCACATTATGTCTCTTTGGAAACTAGTAGTACACATCGCCCTAACACCCTCTCCTTAGGAGGAAACACGGTGGTGGAAGCATCATGCTGTGAGCACAATGTGTTTAACAGGGACAGGGAAGTTGGTCAGGACAAGAGACCTAAACCCATTTGAAAAAAAATATCCCTTCAATTTAAGTTCAGTCTGAGCTTCAACTCTTTTGTGAAGGATAAAAAAAGGTCCTTCCACTCCCACTTCAAAGTGTTTTCTCCTCAATTGGCTTACATATTCTGTTCACATTGTGGCTAACTCCTTTGCTTTTCCGTCATTCTCTTCTTCTGGCTCTGTCTTCTCACAGATGGTTTTTAAAGCACCTGTATTATGGGTATTAAAACAGTTTAGCCTGTCTGGGTCTCTCTCTCTCCTTCTGGCTCAAATTCACTGTTAAAATCAGTCCATGACTCAACTCTAACTTTGCTCTCTGTCTCAGGCGCTGTCTCACTCTCACGGCTTGGTTGCTCTTTCTTCCTCTCCCTCTATCTCTCTCCTTATCTTTCTTCTTCACTCTCTGTGTCCCTCTGTCTCAGTCTTCTCCTCTCTGTAGAGCACTTAGGTCTTGTTTTGACTAACTGATCCAGCAGTTGAAGTCTCCCAGGAGCATGCACCACACCCCAGACCAGAGTGGAAACTGGCGCGAGTTGCAGTCAGAGCGAGGCCTGGAAAAATGAAGGCAGAAGCAGGGGGTGGGGGTTTGTACAGGGTGGGGATGAGGGTGATCTCTATACGTATTTTTTTGTGCTTGTGTTTTCACAGTTGTCCCCTCACACAATCACTGGGGCTTGGTATTTCATGCATCCGTGGCTCTTTCCTCCTTCTGCAGTTTCACTTCTACTTCCCTACCTTTCACACAACCGAGTGCGTGTAGAGTTGAGGGCCTCTGTAGGTTTAAAAATTTAATTATACAAACATAATTGGAATATTGGGTTATTATTATTATTTTTTTTTACATGCTTACTTGAGACACAGAAATCATTTCTGGAACTCCCTCACAGTTTCTTGAATGTGTGAAACAAACGAGCATCCCACCCCCCCTGCCCATACCAGACAGTAGCTATTTATGCTGCCGCTGTTTTCTTTTCAAATTCCAGAGTTACATTTTGTCTGACTCAGTGGTTTTTCATTACTTTGCTCTCTTTCATGACTTTTTTTTTTCATACACTTTATTATCTGTCTGCGTCTCACCGTTTGGGATTTCTTCACCTTCCGTCTCATCTCCTCTGTCTCTACCCCACAAACACCTAACCCCTCTCGGCAGCACAGGTAGCCCCCGTTGGGAGATTTTCTTTTGCGGGGTGATGGGGATTGGTTGGCGGGGGTGAGGTGTGGTGGAGGTGGTGGGGAGGTTTGCTGGCAGTGAGCAGAGGGGAAAAAAGGGCCAGTAAAACAAAGAGAGGTTGTCTGCAGGAGAAGCAGGCAGGAAACACAAGTCTCCTAGGACTCTCCCCCAGTCGCTGGTCTTTGGCTATCCTGTAGGCCCACACCAGATTGAACCTGACAGCCCCTCTAAACCGCTGCAGCATTCTTGCTATTTGTCCCTCCTCTACCTCTTTTTTTGTGTTTCGGCTATGTAACCCTTTCTTCTTTTTTTCTTTTTCTCTGAAAGCATATCCTTTCTTTAACCTTTTATGTGAGCTGTCACTTGTCTGGACCTTCACTTTTTGTTCACCAACTCAATTCATATGTGGAGTCGCACACGCCAGGAATAATCTCTCTTGTCAGCAGATATTGGAAGAATGGCTTCTCAGCTGAAGCACTGAGGAGGGTTAAAAGTTAGAAAGCATAAGAACTGTCAAGAAGACTCGGAGGTCTCCAAGCAGCAGGAAACTTTTGCATATATTCTGCTATTAAAGAAAGGAAATTTCGATATACTTGATGTATTTTATATAGTAATTTAGAGTTTAATCCTGGAATGAATAATTCAATAAGTTAACTGACAAAGTTAAAGAATCCAATATTTTATTAAAAATGTTATTATACAATAATCCACATGAGGGCAGTATTGCTTTGTGTGAGGAATAGTCGAAACAGGAAGACATGATACCCGTTTGTCACCAGTGTTAATAGGTTAAAATGAAAGCTCAAATGTGCTTTTTTTGTGGTAAATCCTCTCACACTTTCTGTAAAAATGCTTTTAACATTTGTATTTGGTTCCAAATAGGTTTCAATTGAATTATTATAAATTAAGTCCTCAAGGTTAAATAATAGCTGATAACAAAAATAAAAACTAAAAATAGAGAACTTTGGTGTTCTCTGTTTTAAGCATCAAGCATTGATTTCCCGTATTGCATAAAGCAAAGGTTCCATGAACTTAACTTTGCAAATATGTTGGTATTTGAAAAATATACATTTATCAAAACTATGTATTTATAGGACGTCAATCTACATAACATTTACAATGGGAACATGTTCACATAAAAACAAAGGTCATAAATGTTGAAGAGCGTTTGAAATGGCCCGTAGGATTCCTACAAGGTGTCATTTGAACAAAACTGCTGAAGGTATTCTTTATTTAATCAACACACTGTCTCTCAAGTCACCCTGGTGAATAACTTATTTTATTAAAAAATAGATAATTGGTGCTGCTGGGTGGGGTACTTGTTAACAGTAGTTGCCGTGTCTTTATACGTGAAGCATGAATGTGCCTATGGATGTATGGCTTCCTTCTTAACTCCCATCAGCTTCTTCTCATGGTTTAAAAATACAGTATGTATGTACATGTTAAGTTACTTGGTCTTTCTAAGTTGCACTCAGAAATGAATATGTATATGAATGGTTGTTTGTCCTGTGCTGACCTGAGGTAAACTGGCAGTCTGTCTGTCCTGCCTCTCACCCAGTGACCTCAGGAGACAGAAACCCGCACCGCAACCCAGCACAGATAAGCAGGAATAGACAATGTATGGATGTTTGATGAAACATGCTAAACGGGTTTGCAGGAATATCATATTTTTGTCTTTCTTGGGAGTGAAATTCAAGCATAAATCATTTCCATTTTGGGATGGTGTAACACGATCCCTAATGTGTTCAACTTCAACATGGGCCAGTATAATGATAAACCAAGGGTTTAAAATGCCATGGTCTCAAAATTGTAACTCAACCTTATTTCACTATGAGGATTTTATACATATATTTTATACTATTTATGTTGTGATTTCCACACACACTTAAGGCTAATTAAATTGCTTTTCGACCCTTCAGATACCCTGCTGATTTCAACCTTATAGTCTTTTTCTATGGTCCCTAAGGAGAAAAAATACAAAAAACTGGTGACCAAAATACTTGCTCTCAATTCTAATACTGTGTATACCATGTTAGACTAAGTGTGAATCCAATCTGGTATTAATAAACATCAGATTTCCCCTGCATTCTGGTGGCAATTTGATCTGTTTAAGTCTGTAATAATGGAAACAATCAAGGGCGCTGGCCAGGTGCAGTATGAGTATACCAGGGCATTTTTGAGATGTTGCCACAGCCTCTGTTGCTTGCACTTGTGTCACAGTGATTGATTGCTTGGTGGAACCTGTCTAGCCTTACACCACAGACAGACACAAAGCAGGTAGAGCTTATGCTGCGCAGGTCAGGTCAGTTCACTCGTTGACCATTGAAGCTGCTGGTATCACAAAATGAGACATGAATGCGTGTTCGGTCCAGCTATTGTTTTGTGTGCTTTGTTTGTTAATTTGCATCAGCAATTTGTGGTTACTATGTTGCAAGTTGCTCAAGCAGCTGTGAACTTTCTCGAAGCTTATGCCATCGACGTTCTAACCACCAAAGCAAGCCTTACTAAACCACGAGCGTGTCCAGATATCTTGTGAAGAAGATTGTTAAGCACTTTTTGATGGATTTATTGAGCTTAATCGACATTTACTACTACTAGTTGAGATATTTTATTTAACCATGCGCACATGGAGGCTTTTAAGGACTGTAATCTGACTAAATCTGAAAGATTGTTGCAGATACATGTTTGTATCACTTAAATACTTCTTTTGGTAATGAAATAAATTACTAATTGGTTATTTCCTAATAAAAAACATATGATTTTATCTTTCTTTTCTAATACTTGTTTTTCAGATCCATCATATGATGCTGTACGGCGGACAGGGTGGTCTAACAACATGCACAGTGGCAAGGGTAAGGTCCCACATAATAACATATTAAACATCTACTTATGTATTTTTGCATTTGACTAAGGAGTGATTGAAACGGACTGAGAGGGAATTTTTAGCACTACTTGTCAAAAATAAACACTGTCAGTGGGTGTTCAGGACCATTTTAAATACTCGGTAATACTTTTATCTAGAGTTTGCACCAGAGGAGATGTATTACTGACATCAACACTGTCTAGACATGTGGGAAAGACTCCATAAGATTACAGAAGACAGTCGAGTCACTTCCTTATTTACTTTGGACCTCTGCTAAAATGCCTTCAAGATATGTGGTCTTGTTATCTGTGACCACCCTATGAATATAGTGTCTGAATCATGTTATGTCTCCCCCTCTTCATCCAATGACTGCTTCCCTTCTTGCAGGCTCACCTGTCGTTCCTCAGAATGTGACCAAGTCCACTGAGCAGGCCAGACCTCAACCAGGTAACTGCTTAAGCACTTTGTATTGCCTTGTTGCTGAAAATGTGCTTTAAAAATAAAATTACCTTTACCTTTACCCTTACTCTGTAGCATTTGTGCTTTTGGTCGGATGAGTACAGACTCGAAACTTATTGTTTGAAGTGATAACGTTTTTTTTGTATCAAATGCTTTGATAAAGCTGTTTTTTTTTCCATTCTTTCTTTTTTTCCAATCATATCTCGATGTTGGTACTTAAGACAGTCAAGCATAATTACACTTTGTTTACAGCAGAACCCTAACTGGATACATTGTCTGTAATAGTAATGTCTACACTACAAGTCTGTTCATTAGACATAGTTGTGCAATTTGAAGGTCATATGAAACAGTTTTCAGCTACTTTTTGTGACAAATAACAATAATGAATTTACAATCAAAGCATCACATCACCTCCAGCATAACCTGTCTCAATACAGGCAGCCATCTGTCACAGCCAACACTGTCTCCTGTTAGAGAAGACAGAGCAGAATGCACAAGAAGAAAGAAATAAATTAACCATTGTAGGATTATTTTTGATGTTCATGAAAATAAAAAGTTGACTGGAGGGAAAGGAGAATGGTTAGTTGATGGTAGCGCTATTTCAGACAATGTCCTCCTTCAAGAAGGTATCACAGCCAAACAGAATGTTAGACCACATTTAGCTACTATGAAGAGAAAAATACCTAAGAGAAAACAAAGAGTTGACAGTTAAAATAACAGCAAACAATGCAAATTGGAGAGTGGTTCAAGAAAGTGAGGAAAAAGTGGTTTGTTTGTCCAGTATAACTATGAACTATATTGAAATGCACCTGCATGTTTTGGCATCCAGTAACTATAATAAAGCTTTACAGCAAGTTGACAAAAATAAGTAATAATCTAAAAGAGGATTGTTCTACTCAGCCAAGACACAGTGGACTGATTTTCACCTTCTTATAATACCCTTATTACAATATATTTCACAATATTAAGCTGTTAATTAGATATGCTCATTAAATAATGTAGATATCCTAAAAGATGACCATAAAGATCTTCAAAGCATTGAATTTATGTAGTGCAGAAATATTCCAGGATGTGAAAGTTTATAAAGAAGTTTCTAGTTTTTTTTGTGTGTGTTTGTTTTTTTTAAGGAAACATTAGAAGTATGAGATGGCCAAGTATGCCTTGAATCTAACATTACACCTCTAAGGTATCTTAAAAAGGAAGGAACAGTAACTTACACCCTCCAGTAAAAACAGTGGAAAACAACCTCAGCTGAAATATCCATTATACACAGAGATTGAGTCTGCTGACAAAAACAGAAAACACATGAGTCAATCCCTCAGTTATTAAACATACAGTGGCTTATTCCTTATTGCACGTAGCATTTATTTATTTTTCTACGTATACCTTTTATGCGGTGTATATTAAGTATAAATAATACAACATTATATACAAAAACGGAGGAATCAAATCAATGGCATGAATTTGCTTGAATTTTCTTGCGGCAAGAGTTTTCAAACACGTTGCTAAGAGTAACCTGATAAGTTAAGAAAGCTAAGAAGTTAAGAAAGCGAAAGCAACTACGGAGTTCTGATAACAGATCAATGAAAATATTTTTTTTTTAATTTTTGATATGACTCCACATATACAACTTTAGTGAACTCCTGCCTTTTATTTTCTTGGCAATATTTTCATGTTGAGTAGTTGACTGAAGTTCTCGACCAATACTTGCACGTCTACTGTTTGTTTTGATATTTCTCATTGATGTTTTTAGCATAAAATATATTTAGATATCATTTTTAGTGAAAATATTTGGAACAAAACTTACAAAGAAAACAATGTTTTCTGTCTTAATAAGTGTACTGCTTAGTTTTAAATTACATGCATTTTAATGGCTAATGCTTCAGTTGGGCTCTTTCCCACAGTTGGATATCTGAGCACAATGTGCAGGTATACATGGCATAAAGACAGGGATCTGCAGCAGCCAGAAGAGTCTATGATTTACTATGGATCTCATTGCAAAGAGTGAGAACTACTCAGATTGTTGGTAGACACTTTGAATTGTTGCATTAACACTGGTCACTGCCTTTTGAACATTGAGTTTTCCAAGCAGACACAAATAGGATGCGAATTGAATTGAAATTAATTTTGAAAACTGGCCATATAAACTTTAGCATACAGCTTGTTGGCCAAACCCACAGGTGCGACTGACACAAAAAATATTCAGACAGTAGACGATCAATGGGTTTGGAGTGGAGTTTTGATAGGGATTCTGATAACAATTGTACCTTTTTTTCCATCAGGAAATTTTGCTGTACTATATACCACAGAAATCTGATTCCAGATTGATCATCCTTTTGCATTTGTCTGCAGATCCTTATCAGATTCTGGGCCCCACCAGTAGTCGTCTTGCCAATCCAGGTAAGATTATTGACATGTTTAAGCCTTCTGTAATCAGACAAATACTGAAATCTGTAAACATAATAATAATAAATAAATAAATAAATGCTTATATTTTAGAGACCACGAATGTCCATGACAATGATTTCTTCTTCTGTCCACTTCCAGGCTCAGGTCAAATCCAACTTTGGCAGTTCCTCTTGGAGCTCTTGTCCGACAGTGCCAATGCAGGGTGCATCACTTGGGAAGGGACCAATGGAGAGTTTAAGATGACAGATCCAGATGAGGTGGCGCGACGATGGGGTGAGCGTAAGAGCAAGCCCAACATGAACTATGACAAGCTGAGCCGCGCGCTGCGCTACTACTATGACAAAAATATCATGACGAAAGTGCATGGCAAACGCTATGCCTACAAGTTCGACTTCCATGGTATTGCTCAGGCACTGCAGCCGCACCCCACCGAGTCATCGATGTATAAATACCCCTCGGACCTAGCCTATGTGCCTTCTTACCACGCCCACCAGCAGAAGGTCAACTTTGTATCCCCGCACCCTCCATCTATGCCAGTCACCTCCTCCAATTTCTTTGGACCCACTGCTCAGTACTGGAGTTCGCCCACTGCAGGCATCTACCCAAACCCAAACGTTCCTCGCCACCCTAACACCCATGTGCCATCCCATCTTGGCAGTTACTATTAAAACAACTCTCACCTATCAATGACCAACTTTTAAAACCTACCTTCTCCCCCTACCAAAATTGCTGAGCTGCACTCGTTGTAATGCCAAAGACTGAACTGATGGAAACAAACATCTAAAGAAATGCTGTTCCTCAAAGAAGAATGAGTAAATTGATTTTTTTTTGTGTGTGTGTAAGAATTTATAAAAACTGGATACCTTGGTCTACAATGGAATACTACTTATTACAACTGTTTATAGATGCACATCTAAGTTTCCTGTGCCTGTCTTTTCCATTGTCTTGAAAGCTTCATCTAAAAGCCAATACTTGTCCCAAAGCCAAAGGAAAGGTGTTGAGCCTGATTGTGTCAGCCTTTTCTCCATGCTACCTTACCAGACATGGGCCTACCACTTATGGGTCTCAATTTATGTCCTTCTCAGTACACCTTGCTTAAAAAAAAAAACAAAAAAAAAACGCTGTAGCCGCTTATCGACTACCTTTTTGGGGTTTTTCCACTGTTTTTCTTTGCTTTTCTGTTCAGCTTCTTGTTTATTGTTACTTGTGTGTGTGTGGAGCGGGGTGGGCTGGGGGAGGGTGTTGTGTGTGTGTATGTTTGTATGTGTGCCTCCAATAGACACGTAAGATATCTTGCAAGAGGGACTTTTCTCAGCACTGAATAAAAATTGGCGACTGGAATACATAGTTCACTATGCCGCCATTTAATTTATCCTCCAAAACTGGAAGGCTGGAGAAGAGTTAGATGCCATAAAATGAAGCGCTGTATGTTTCTGCTGAACCTGGGTCAACTCAGTTGCTTAAAGAATGTGTTCAATGTATTTTGCATGAAGTCGAGAGAGATGATAGGTAATAAGCACAGCAGAGTTAAGTCAATTGTGCTGCGGAAGCAAAGTCGAGATTTTAATTGCAGTAATTTGCAGCAATTCCCGCCCTGTGTGTCTCTCTCTTGTTTTTTTTTTTTTTGTTTTTTTTTGGTAGGCCACACACTAAGCTAAGTGCTTGACTCGTTGCTTCCTTTCAGCCATAGTATTCTGAGATTTTTTTTTTTTTTTTGTGTTGCTCAACCATATCAGTATTAATGTGAACGTTTTCTGGCTTGTGAAATACTCTTAAAAGGAAAAGCCTTGCCTAAGTCAAAATATGTCAGAAGTGGTTATTTAAGAAGAATAATAATGCATGTCCATGTGTTGTCATGAATCTAAAACATGAAAGTGATTTTAGAGTATGTGAGGGGTTTTTGAAGGTTATATTGGCCTTGCTGTTTTTGAGGATGTTGTTTAACTATCCAAAAACCCTCGAGTCTTTATCTACTTTTAAAAATGTGCTGAGAAACAAAGCTCTAACCCTTGCAGTGTTAGGGTTACGCTCCAACTGCTGATCTTTATCTTATCGTTATCAATTACCAGTAAACAACTAAAGTCCTGAAGAAGATATAACTGTTTTGTTAAATCTGACTTTTTTTTTTTTTTTTTTTTATCTTTTCTGACAATAAAAGCTGCCAGGCTTTGTCTTCTCTCTTTTTGTAGGCCAGTTGTACCGGTCAGTGCAGAGAAGTGATGGTCCTCATGATTCTGATTAACAGACACCCATGTTGCAGTTTTTTTTTTTTTTTTTTTTTTTTCTCCAGGGCTGGATCCTAGCATGAGAACAGCATGTTTGGTGAAAGGTCTTTCGCTGATCTTCCAGCCCAACAAAATGCAAACAAATCTCAAGTCAGAGTTTCTTCATTATCATGTAAAAACATGTCAAAATTACAACTATAATCAGCTTTTCAACTGTCAATTTCAGAAATTATTGAAAGGACGTCACTGAAAATAGACACTTGAAAATAAGTCATTTATCAAAGAACAAAAACCAATGAAGTATGACGAGATGAAACAAAGAAATCCTCAGATTCGCGAACGCTGTGCGTTTGTCAGACCTATTTTTTTATTATTTTATAAGCATCAGTCAACTAGGCATTAAAGCAACTTACTGTATAAATTATGCAGAGTTATTTTCATATGTGACACAGTATAAAACGCCAAGAGAGTTAATACGAGTTGACCTCGGTCAAAAATGCAAACTTTTTGAGTCCATTTCTGCTAGTAGTATGTTGAGCATGTTAAGTATTTTTATATCTGTACATTTGGGCAATGCAGTTTAGCATTTTTTTGTTTTCATACAGGTGTTGTTTTCTAAAATCCAGTTGTAACATCTTAAGTGCCTGTAAGTTTAAAAAAAATATATCTGTATATTATTTGTTTGTAATCCTAAAACCACAAATGCCTGCTTAACTCATAATCTAATAGAGATGATTCCTATACCTTGTATGCAGTTCATAACGGTGATGGAGAGACTCCAGTGCCACTCACTTTTTATACCTAAATTTCATGACTAGCCCTGTGCTTTTAAGGTTTTCAGGTGTTTGATACTCAGTAATACAACATTAATATTTACATCCAGCTTTCTTTTCAGATGTATAGCTTTAAGTGAACAAATCCAAAGGGAACATGTCATTTGTAGCATAAAGAAATTATGGTAATGTACCCTTAACCTTCCTGTTTTATAAGCAGTATCAGTGAAGAGGAACCCATGCTACTTCTTCATATATGCAATGTATTTTGGATGTTGAATCCATTATATGTATTGTGTGTATAACTTTACAATTAAGCAGTGTATTATTTTTAATATTAATTAATTGTAATTCCTGCAATGTATGAAGTAAAACCTTTTGAAAAAGGGCTTTTGTATAGAAAATGTGACAAAATAAATGTTTTTACCTCTCCAGTACTGTTTCTCAGCCTGACTTTACCTCCACCACAGTTGAAGTCGATCAATATTCAATACTTTGTTTGGATCACAGGGAAGTTGATGCCTATTTCTAGTGGCCAACGAACAAGAGAGAAACAGCAGAAGGATAAACACACATAGGAAGAATGCCAACTCAACAGAGAAGGGCCTGAAGAAAACTGGAACTCAGGAGCTTCTAGCTGCAAGGCAGTAACACATATGAAATCACATAAACAAATTCACATATTTAAGTTCAACACTGCATTTTTTAGATTTTTGTATTCACTTTTATATTAAAACTTTGTTGGAAAGAATAATAGAACGGACCGAAACAACTAATCGGTTTACTTATGATTAATCGATCATTCAACTAATTTAGAAATCGAACAATCGTTATCTACACAGACTCTGAAACATGGCAATTGCTAAAAGGACAACACTCCCAGAGTAGTAAACAACTAAAGAAAGAATGTACAAAAAGTATGTACATTTGCATTTCAAATAAAAAAAACTTATTTGTATGTCAATATGTTTTACACAGAATGCTTTGCCATTTTAGACAATCAAAGAGTTAAAAGGGAACTGCAGCCTTAGTTTATATCTTGAAACTTTCATTTTGTTCCAGCAAAATTAGCTTCTAATCTAAATGACAAATTAAATTAAAGTCATATGAACTGTCAATAAGCTTGTTCACACAATAAGTCATTAAAAATAATGGCAGCAATGTCTGCCCTGTTGTTTAGCATTAACTAAGGGTGGTCAAAGGTCTGATGCACCTGAAACTAGGAAATGGCTGATATTTGACAGCAAAAGAAGATTAGCAAGGCTTTCTTTTCTCAATGCCATCTTTTTGCTGTCAAAAGCATTTAATAACATTCCTTCAAAAACGACAAAACATCTCTACATGTTTAAAGCTTTGTTGAGTTTGAATCATGCACAACTGTGTCATGCAAAAGCTGGCAACAGAGAAGTTGTGAATTTCTTTACTTTAAAAATAGGGTGATAAGAGACTTATAGAATTTGCATTTATAGAATGGTAAAATATTAAAAATAAAATCTCTTCCTCAGATAAACTGGATATAAATTGGAAGAAATACATAATTTATCAAATCTTCCCCATACTAAATTCAATAAATATTTTTGGATGGCTTCCAATCTGTGATGTTGTTCTGTTTTATGTCTCGACACTACAGTGCCATGTTCTAAATGCTGAAACGTCAGTTATGACGCCAAACACTTAGTCAACCATGCAGTAAAACTGACACACCCATCTGACACCCATATTTCTTCCTTTATATGTTTATTTATTGTATTTAAATGTCAACTCGAATGGGCAAAACAAATCATTCAAGTGCCTCAGAGGGAAAAGAAAATGTCATGAAAATGAGAAACTTTCTCATTTTCAAGGCACTGATTATTTATTTATTTTTTTTATGTCGGACTCGAGCCGCAAATGCGTCTTCTTGAATTATCAAAATTGTAAACAAAAAAACATTGACCTGGACATATTAAAAGTATATATATATTTTTTAATATGCTCATCCAGGTTTGCTCACTAATTTTAAATTATTTATTTTATGAGCAGATGAAGAAATAATAATTGAAGCAAAAATATTATTTTTTTGTATTTATGTTAAAAAATGTCTGTACTGAGTACAAAGTGTAATCAAAGTCAAAGCCATTGTTTATTCTGATTAAAGGGTGCCCTTTAATCAGCATTAACTGATTACACCCATTGTAGCTAATGGGTGTGGCATACCCATTAGCCACAAATAGGCAGATTCATGTTTAACCACTATTCATTAAAAAAAAAGAAATGCTTTATTCCTGTGCTAATTTTGAGTCTTCACATAAAATTTACACCACTCTAAATTTGTGTATTAGTAACCTTTTTGAACTGGCTCCAAAAATACTGAAGGGTAAAGGCAAGCTCTTGCAACATGTTCTTAATGCACAGCCTGCACAGAACTGTTTTTTGGAAAATTTGAAGCAGGTGTGGATACAACCCGAACAAATGCTACAGTGGGACCAATGAGGACTTTCTGGGATTTTGCGAGGACTGAAATGTCCCAGTCAAAAAGAAGCTTGCTCTTATTCTTTCCTACATGAGAAAAAGAGAAATATTCTCACTTTCTCCTGAGCATATACAGGTAGTTCATCAGAGAATTAATAATTATTTGTTGATATTAATGAAACTCATAAAGCTTCTGTTACCATATTTTTATAGGCTGATTTTTTTTCAAATGGATAGTTCTGGTTTTAAGTTAAGAGCGCATTACGGCTTCTACAGTCAACTCTAATTTCCCACCTACGTCCTCAAAGTTATCCTGTTTGATGTCATGAATTAACTTTGTTTAGAGGTCAAAAGTCACTATCAGGATTAGCTTCGGCAGGCAATTTGTATTGCCTCGTCGCTGAAAATGTGCTATGTAAATAAAATTACCTTTACCTTTACCTTCTGTTGGTTTGACCTTCTATATCACACACCAGGTGTGACATTCAGCTTTGGTTCGGTGTGAAAAATGTTACTGCAGACAAATGTTTATGAATGCAAAAATAAAGTTTATTTTACTCTTGAGTAAAAGCAATTTTAAAAAAGACAAATATATACAAACATAATTGAGTTTGCTGCATGCAGCCAAGTTAGACATTGTCTGAGAGATATGTTCTCTCAAAATATGTTCATTTGTAAAATAAAATAAAAAAAAAACAAACAAACAAAAAAAAAACTATCTCACCACTCACAGCTTTGAAAGACTGGCTTAGGAGTCCAGCCTATCTGAACAGTTTAGCATACTGCTTCAAGTCAAAGTATCACTTTTAGCACATCAACCATCTGTTCATAATTTAAAAAAAACTCCTTCTTTGGTGACTTATTGCATGTTTTTAATTAAAACAAAAATAACTCATGTGAAAGGTAAAAAAAAAAAAAATCCTTTTCTTCATACAAATGTCATCACTGACAGAGAAGCTTTGTGTCAGTTAGCCATGTTTCACCAGCTAACATGACCTAACCTCCAAAAAACAGGGTTTTCATCAGGTGATCATGACAGGTGTGGTTTCACATACAGACACATACAAAACTCACAAGAAGTGCCCTGATTCTTATTTGTAATTTGTAAATACAAAAGAATAACAAAACAATTGGTTAATCTGATTCAAGTTTAAATGCAAAGCATTTGGTTGTGGGCAAATGGTTCATCCACAGGTGCCTCGTGCAACCGTCTGTCCTTCAGGAATTCATTGTCGGGACATGCAATGGGCTGCCAGTCAGATATTTCAGCCTGCGCGAACAGTAAGTGTTTCACATCTTGGTGACATTAGGGGGATTGTCAATTTCAATCACCTCAAAGCCCGGGTTGTCTTGTCCTGTTCTGGAATGGAGATGATGTCCTTTGATGTTGTGATAACAGTATGCACAATGTGACGTGGCTACCGGAACCACTTTGGAGAAGTTGGAGAAATCAACTCTGTACTTCCCTTCTTTGCTTTTGGAGATGATCGGCAGGAAGTTGTAGCCCCACATGATCTCCTGAGGAATGAAGGAGGTTCGCACCTGGAAGGAAGAACTTGTGGACTCTGCTGTGCCGTCCAGAAAGACCACAAGCTCGAACTCTTTGTCATGTAGTGTGTCCACTGCCATGTCAAAGAAAGGACTGCTCTTGTCAATAACGTGATGCAAC